AGCGGGTGTTCAGGTATTTGGCGTCGCTCCTGTATTTCTTCGACAGGCTGGACAAGTTGCTGGCCTTGGAGTCTAGTGCTGCGCGAGGAAGACGAGGGAGGAGACGATGAGTGCAAAGCAAAAGCAGACTTTTTTTTTTTTTTTTTTTTTTTTTTATAAATGACACGAGAGCAAACAGCTCGACTCACCCGAGAGCGCCTCCCCTCTCTGCAGGACCTCCTCGATGTTAGCCACCATGATCCTCTGCACGTCCTGCAGCTCCGTGTTGATGCTGCCCAGGTTCCTTCTGGCTCGGCTGTCGATGTACGACTTCTTGGTTTTTTGAATGTAGGTGTCTGAGGAAAACGGCATTAGTGAGCAGATTTCCTACCTTGTGGTTAATCAGAGTTGGGGCTGCAACTAGCGATTATAAAAATATTTGAAATATTTAAAAAATATATACATTTCAAAATTTGATCATGTAAATTTGAAGTCTTTTATATTTACTTTTTGTGAATTAGCGAAAAATCACAATAAACTCGAATTTTCCAGGATGGAAAAAGAAAAATATTGGGGGGGGGGGGAATTCATCAATTACAGCTAAAAATTTGTAATGACATTCATGAGCATGAGTCAATGTCTGAACAAAGCTGAATATTTAACAAAAAAAAGATCAGTATGTTTAAATATTTCTTACATGCCGTCAGTCGTACAGTCAGAGTCTTTTGTTTCTTACCAAACTCGATGAAGGAGTAAGGACGGGACACTGTGGGGACCTTCTTTCCGTGCTGCTCGTGAAACTCTGCCTGCAGGTCTTCGAGGTACGCGAAGGCTAGCTTCTTGGAAAAGCTGGCTTCAGACAGCACAAGGTAGCAAACTCCTTGTTCTATGAAATAGCTGCGGGGAGAACCAAAACGTGGCTCATGTTTAAAAAAAAAAAAAACTCAAAGCGGCAAAGGAGACGGAGAGAGAATTATCGAGTGTGGAGAAAGTGAAGCTCGTTCTGTGTTTGTGCAAATGTTTCAGGTTACATAAATGTCTTATTGGGATTACTGAGGATGGGGCTACTCCTCACTGAGTAGCACAATACATAATCCAGGTCAGAGTGAAAAAAACAAACAAACAGTGAAAATAAGTTGCAAAAATCAAGATTTTCAGCTTTTATTTAGGCTTGAGTTGATTCTGTTTATTTTTATTGGGCTTTTCCCCCCCTTTTTTAGAAAAGGAATAAAAGAAGTTAAACAAAAAAAAAGCGGTTTGGGTTCCTCAAGAGATTTGAATCTAACAGAAAGTTAAAATGAACATTTACTTTGGTTTCCTCTTACTGTTTATTTAAAAAAAATAATTTAAAATAGACTCACTTATTTTAATGGTACAATATTTTGAACTGCTATAAACTAGTTTGGTCTCTGTACGGATTTAGCTTCACCGCCCAGATAGAGTTCTGAAAACATTGATTGGGTTTTACTTAATTTGGCATTTTTGAAAGAGAGAAAGCTAATGGGAGCAAACTATAGTTTTCTGTTTTGTTTAAAAGAAAAGAAAAGAAAAGAAAAGAAAAAAAAAGCTCAATTCATAAAAAACAAAAACATTTTTTGGCATCTTTACACTCACTGAAACGCCATCGATCCGGCCTCTAAAGTGCAGCGGGTGGGACTCTGCTCGTTGAGTTTCCTGAATAGCTGCTTGGCCTGAGTCTGATACTGCTGAAGGTCTCGACCCACCTGAAGGAAAAAAAAAAAAAAAAAAAAAAACCCAGCTCTTATCAAATAACTTGGTGATTATGTTAACCATAAAACACTTGGATGCTGGTTTTATGAGCACCTTGACAGAGTGACTGCACAAGCAAATGTCTCTATGAGGGCGATAATGGCACCTTAACTACTTGGAAGAAAAACAAAAACTTGTACTACATTTGCTCATTTTTTGCCTCGAGAATGGATTTTAAATGAAAGACGATGCTATTTCTAACAGTGAGCACAGGGCCTTTTGGGCTGGGTTGGATAGCAATAAATGACAGCGTTTCCATTGCAGCATCACAGAAAGACAGATGATGAAGCACAAAGCAGAGACACAACAAACCTTCTCGCTTCCCTTTTTGAAAGCACACAAGAAAGTAAAGAAAAACATGTTAGACTCCCGTGAAGCTATGCACAAAGTAAAACAGTTCATTTTGTTACAGAGGCCCTCAGTCAGTTTTCAGATTTGAAGTATCTTTTTAAAGCTCTTAATTGTCATCTGATCCTTTAGTCTAAAATGACACAGCAAAACTTTTCATAAAAGAAGCCAAGATAAGGTCAACATACCAATACTGACCTCTGGAGGCTCATACAGGTAAAAGCTGTGTCAATGCAGGATGCACAGTCATGGTTGATACTTTTGCCAGGAACACAGATGTGGCCGTGTTGTGTCTGTAGTTTTAGCAACTTTAGTTTTTACACGTTTCTATGGTGTGGAGAAACGTTATACATTTCTTAACAGTTGCATTGAATTTACGTGAAGGGATGGGAGAGAAGAATGGTTTCTCACCATTAAATTACATCTAATGGCGGGAAACCACACTGGGTCTCGTCCCAGTGCTTCAAGTTGAAGCTTGGTGGGGTTTTATTTTTTATTTTTTTCCTTCTTCTTCTCCACTTGCTTTCTGAGGAGTGAGCACAGCTTCTCAGTGGAGATAAGATTGTGGGAGTTCCTTGGCAACAGGTCTACAATGTCATTGAGGTTAACAATTAGTCCGTTTGTTTTACCTGTAGCATTATTTCTACTAATGGGAGAATGCACCGACTTCTAAAAGGAAGTTGTACTTGGAGGACGTTTTGATATTTTATTCGAGGTAGTTCTGTCAGGCAATGTGAGTAAGCATCCTCTGTTAAGCAACTGATATCAATGGTTGATGTCTTACTGACAACAACACAAGACCCGTGATGCCTTTTCTAAAAATCCCGATAAAAGTTTCAGTCCGTCCTTTGTTTGTTGACCGAATCTGCTTCTATGTCGCCAAGGTTTCTACTCGCACTGTACATTTAGAGGCCAAAATGTTTGTCTTTTCGTTATAAAATAGCTCAAATTTAGTCAAGCTGGATTGGAGAAAGGCCATTTTCAAGTCTAACTACAACTCTCAATCTGAGCCAGGTGTGCGGCAGCAGAGAAAACAGCTAAAACATTCAGGACAGTGGGTCCTGAGGTTCAAGATGGGGAAGCCCTGATTTAACGCATTTCACCGTAGACCTGATGTTTAGGGCCGTTGTTCTGTAAACTCCACCCATGTCCCTCAGTCCTGTATTTAGCTTTAGGCATCTGACAGTAACAAAAGTTACAATTTCAGCACATGCCACACTTCAGATTATTATTAAAAACAATGTGTTTTCCATCCACTTTGAATTGGTCCATTTCATAAAATCCCAGTAAAATCCATTGAAGGATGTGGCAAAACGAATGATTTTGCAAGGCACTGGATTTATCACACCGACAGATATATGTATTGATTTCAGTGACTCCTGAAATGAAGTTAATAGATTTGTGTCAGCGTTGGAAATGAAACTCTGAAAGTTGGTTTGAATAACGTAGTTTTAGGGTAATATACCTTTGTCTGATCAATCCACACAATAATCTAAAATAATCTTAATTGTTACCACAAAAATCTAAACTTAAGAACTTGGAAAACACAAGACTGTCTACAATAAAATCCACATTTCTTGAACATTTCTTGGAATGCGATTCAAAAGTATGTGCCATGATTTACAATATAAATATAAAGGTAGATTTCTTTTTAGTTGCATTACATATTTATCTACAGTGCTGTGCTACCATTCCTAGTCAGCTTATTCATCAGAACTAAGATCTTTTAATGGAATCCTCTTTCGGTGAAAAAGTCAACAAAAACTAAAACCTCTGATCACAAGCACAGAAGATTTCACACGAAGAGAGACTGATTACTGTTGTGGGTAAAATACTGCCTAGTAGGCAGGCCTACTTCAAATAGTCACCCAGCTGATCAAACAAAGTTTAGCCCATTAGCTACTTATAATGAAGTCTGAATGCCCCAGGATCCTCAGATCTTGAGTAAACCTGCCTCCTACTGCTAAGATGGTCACACCTGATCTTTGTCAGCTAACGTGTCACTGCATTACATCCCCAGAGACATCAGCTACACGGGTAGAAATGTTGAGAAATTAACCTGCTCGTCCTCCTGCATTGAAGCGGCCAGCGGCAGACCGTCAGCCAGCCGAGCGATCATCGTCAGCAGCAACATCTCTGCGAAGTGTCCCGCTGTGTGTCCACGGCCCGGAGAAAAGTCCCAGCTGGTTGGCAGCAGCGTTAGCCTGACGGGCGGGCTGTAAAAGTGACAACACCACAGGAGAGACGCGCTGAGCTGGCCGGAAACACTGCAGCTTTTAGCGTCACAGTCAAATACCGCCGACGCGGAACTGAATGCGCTCACAAATAAAGTTCCGGATCACGTAAATTCCATCCTGAGGTCGTGAATGTTAAAAGTTGGGTCAGTGCTGTACTTGTACTAAATAAAAATAAGTCGCCAGACAAAATAAATAATAAAATAAACAAATTATATTTGGATTGTCTTTAATTAAGCTGATCAGACCAATGAGTGAAAGCAACAAGAACTATCTTGCTGCTTTCACTCAATATCTGGTTGTAAAATACAAGAAAACATAAAAATAAAAGTAAAAAGTTACCGGCTTAAGGATTCTAGTCAACAACCAACTACAAAAAATGGAATATCGTCCTAGCTTGTACCTTTTACAGAGAAGTCTGTTTCATCACTGAAATTCATGTTATGTTAATTTATTGATTTATTTGTCTCAGACAGAATTAGTCTATTATCTATATCATTAAAAGAAATGAGATTAAAAAGGAAGACACAACCTCCTGTAGGCTGCATCAAGGATTCAAAACATCAACAATCTGAGCTTTTGAATTCAAAGCAATAAAGAAAAAGGCACGAGTAAGAATCACAAAAAATATTTATTAGTAATTTTTCAAAAGCTTTAAAACACAGACCACTCAGTTCATTTCCCTTTTATTTCTCAATAACCACAAACTCATTAATCAACAACAACAAGCAACATGTTATGATCTCCTTGATGTTTGGCAAGAATGTTCTTTTACATAACTGTATGATTCAATTTCACACATTGCCTTCACTATCACAGTTCAAGTCAGTTGACTGTTTTAATGTAAATATATTACATTAATTTATTTTAATGTAAATATGTAACATTAAAGCAGAAAAATAAAAATGTTGACCTATTTCTAATGGATCAAAAATATGGCTGAAATTAAACCGGTTTAAAAAAAAAGAAAAAAGAAAGACTTCCCAGAAAGTCAGTTTGATCACTCATTTAAGTAGTTAAAAGAGTCACTACTTTCTAGAAATGGTCCAATATTAGAGAATAGAATAGAAACTAGTCTACCTGCAAAATTTGCAACATTTTACGGTTTTCCAAAAATAAATGTGCGCGTCTGATAACAAATAGCTGGTTAGTTGATATGTGTGAAAGATGGTAACTGGACTCATCGTTACAGTACAGTGAGCATAATTAGCAGGAACGAGGTAAAAGATGAACTCTCATTGTTTAATCTGTACAAGCTGAGATACGCCAGCCGTTAGTCAAAAATGCTGTGGTATTTCTGTAAGAGAAGCTGAGCGAGATCAGGAGAGCACGGCATCAGAGGGAGTCGAGGCGGTCCGAGATGCAAGCCAGACACGTCGGACATCAGCTGCTTGTTTACTCCAGTATCAAAACCTGTTGACACACACATCAAAATGATTTTTCATGCAGCTTGCTGGCAAATTCCTCACTCTGACTTCACTTTAAAAGTGAATATTGCGGGTTACCACTTACCAAGTTTTATGGCGTAATTCAGGAGTTCTTGGATTTTGAACTGGATGTAGAAATCAGACCAGATTTTAAACAAATATGTCAGAAACATGACAGGAGAGTTTGTATTAGGACAGCACTACCTGAATGGTTCGGGCTTTGACTAGATCTTTCGTCTCAAAGGCCGAAATCATCTCGTCGACGTAGCATCCCATGTAGTTATATGTGCTGCAGGAAGATAAATGTGTAGCCTTAAATCGAAACAATAAGATAACTGAACTAAAGCAAAGAACTATGAAAGTGAAAGTTTACTAACCTGCCAACAGCTCCATTTGCTCCCATTGCCAGACCAGCTAGCAATTGCTGCAGTAAAATAATATAAAAGATACTTAGTTTTAGAGTGATGATCTGTGAGGTTTATGTTGAATTGAACAAGTAGTGCACGGTGCCTTCAAAAAAGGATTCATCCACGCTACATGTTTATATTTTATTGAACAAAATCATTAATTGAAAGAGAGATATGTCATTTGTTAACCCCAGTAAATATGTATTCAAATCCTTTAAATCAATTCATATTGTTTTGCAGTTTCACAACCTCACACTGAAAATTTGAGGAAAATCAGCAGAAAAGTTTGTTAAGCACTCCAAGTGTCCAGATGTTTGAAACAGCTGCAAAAGCGCCGAGAGAAGAAATTATTCTAGTCAATGTGATCAAACGATTTAAACACCTTAAAAGTCCATATTAATTCATACTGGCACTGAAAGCAACAGCAAAGCAAGACCAGATGAGTATGTGGGGGAAGGCTGACCTCGTCCATGCCGTATAGGACTGACCAGTGAGGCTGGCTGTAACCGACACACTGGCCAAAGTCCAACAGGTCGCCCCCAGTGAACTTTACTCCTCTGAAGGAGGGAATGAGCTTCTCAATGTCTTCTATCACATCTTTCACTGGAACTGAAGAAAACAGGGCGGGGGGGGGGGGGGTGTCAAATTGCCTGCTAGGTCTGTACATGTGCTTAAAGACTAATTCAGCTCTATATAACTTTACTGCAAAGCACAAATCAAACCGCTGACCATTCACCCCCGTAAATGATGGGATTTGGTAATAGTAGAAGGGCAGAGTTGGAGCAGCTGAAGCAACTTCCTGGAGAAATCTCCTCAAAGCCTCTGAAACAGGGAAACCAAGAAACAACAACACAGAAATGGTTGGATCTTATAGAGAATCGCACAGCAGCATTAAATCTGGAGGCAGATGCTAAAGTCGTATAGCATGAGAGATTAAAACAATGGCGTATGTCACACCTGCAGTTTTGGGCTTAAAGAAGGAGGGAGAAATGGCCGCTATCCCATCAGCTCCAATCTTTGCTGCGTGACGAGCCTGGAGTGAAAAATAAGAGTTAAGTTTATTCAAATCAGAGTAAAGTTATACTGGGATTCTAACACCTTGTTGCTGCACACTGTTGATCAACGGGCATAAAGAAGGCTTCAACACACACGTTACAACAAAGACATATTCAGCCGTTAGAAAGTCCGAAATAAAAACGTCACTCTCATTAGCACAACACTGGTGTGTATGAATATTAACATTACTATGCAGCAGGTGGTGGAGTTACTGATGTAAGCTTAGCTCAACACTTGTTGGCATGTGGTAATTTGATTTCATCTCGCATTAGTCAGTAAACCAGCCAACAACTCACCAGGTCCTGGGAGTCTTTCAGGCTCATGCATCCGACATGTATAATCACGTTATCCATTCTGTTCAGAGAAAATGTCAGATTTTAATATTTGCACCTGCTAAATGTAAATTAATGAGGGAAAAATTAGCCAACCAAAGTGTAAGATCACTCACCTTCCCTTTGCTCTCAGACACCACTCCTCTGCCAGGACCTTCCTCTCTGCAACAGAGAGGGACATGCTCTCTCCGGTCGTGCCATTGACTGGAAGAAACATGAGGCATGTCTTAATCACATAAAATGGTTGACATCAAAGTATTTCTTTTTCAATGTGGAACATTAATCTAAACTTTAGTCTACATTTTTTTTTGGTCAGTGAGGATTGCTAACTTATTTATTTTTGCTAATCTCCCCCTCCAAAAAGAGGGAAGTTTCTTTAAGGAACTTTTACCATTTTTATAAACTCAGCAATTTCCACAGACTAAGATAACTGCACTTTTAAACTGCTTGGGAAAGCAAGGATGATGTTATGGCTTTGTAATGTTCTGATTAATTAACCATCAATGACTCCAGTGATATCTACACAGCCTGGAAAATCTGAGTTGTATGTATATATATTATGAATTGCTGGCTGTATAATATGTATGGTAAAACCTCAAATACATTGCTTCCTTGTGTGACATCATGGGAAAATAAAACATAAATCACTCCACGTGTCTGGAAAATAACTGTTTACCTTCACAAGTCTGGTTCATTCAAACAATTTCCAGACACCTAAGTTCATCCGTTCAAAAAAAGTATATGCAACCCCAGGACAAAATCAAAAGACCTCAAAGCTGGCTGAAGCTGGTGAGAGATTGCAATTCTCTACAGTGAAGTGATTCCAGTACCGACAGACAGAGGAAAAAGCCATTGCTCCAAAAGCAACAGCACATGCATGTTGCAAACTAAAATTCAAATGCTTTGCTTTAATGACCATCATAAGCTTTGGAGGAAAGGGCAGGGGGGCGAGGGGGGTAACTTCACTCTTAACGCTGCATGTGCATCTGGAAACTGGACTCTTTTGGCAAAGGAATGACAGCGTCGACATATCAATCAGATAAATCAAGTAGATATGCTTTGTTAATATTGACTCAAGTGGGGAACATAAAACAGGACAAATGTCAATAGAAGGAATCCCACTTTTAAACTTACCAAATATGCCCTTTATACCTTGCTTTTCTGTCAAGTAGTCAACATAAGGTCCAATCACTGATAAGTTGACCTCACTGTTTCGAGAAAAGAGGAGAAAAACAGTCCTATATACACGGTGCAATGCATGATCAAACAGAAACACCAAACTCCACATCATGATGGTGGTCACACATCATGTCAGATCTTTACACACACACACACACACACACACACACACACACACACACACACACACACACACACACGCGCCATTTCTCTTTCCTCCACACAAGTAAGTAGGAGAGACACACACACACACACACACATGCACGCGCACACACTCACAAGTATCAGTCAGAACTGCGATGGTCTGCAATGACAGAAGAGCTTCTGAAGGTTCCTTACCCTTGAGCATCCAAAGGAGTGAATGTGGCAGCAACCAGACCTGTCACCTTTCTGTCGTCACCAGGAGCCATGGCTAAGATAACAAGCTAGCCTGTCAAACATAAACCAGTGATTCTTGAGAATAGGGACAAAACAGGTCCTATGGATAAAGCACAAAATTTGAATAAAATATAAACAAAATAT